CCCATGCTGAGAACATGCCAGCGTGAGTGATTTCCCTTCTTCCCCTTGCTGCTCAGCCCCCAGTGCCAGAAGTGATATACTACAGTGAGACCGGGACACCATCAAGGCTTCATGTCCATCTACCCTTTTCTTCCTCCCACAGCCAATACGTTGTGAGGGATGGCTTGAATTCAGGCCTGCCTGGGTCCAAAATTTATGTTCTTAACCTTTTGTTTTCTTTAATAGGTGAAAATAAGTGGCTCAGAGCAGTGAAAGAAGGTGCCAAGGCCTCAGGGTCACTCAGTTAAAAGGGAACCCCAAGTGCCCGACGTTTAAAGTGTAAAGTATCTACATTTTTGAATGATAGTCATTCCTTAATATGAGCCATGAAGGAAAGTTTACAGTAAAATGTTCATTCTTTAAGACAGAAGACAAAGATATGTGTGGCCCCTTTAAAAATTATCAGAATCAGGACTTGTTCCTGCTGAGCTTCACTCTGCGCTGGGTACTGCACTGAACCCTTGCCGTACAGTCCAGCTTTCAGTCTCATAGTAATACTTGGGGCAAGTGCTGTTGCCATGGCCACCGGATCCAAGAGCTGGAACTGAAACCCAGGACCTTATAACTGATCCAAGTGTTTAACCATTTTGTTCCATCACCTCCATTTCATAAAGGCCGAGCTACAGTTTTTGAATAAAAACAGTTTTGATACTTAAAAAAAAAAACCTTAAAATGCCCAGAAATGTAACTATGTACAGGGTCAAAAATTTCCGTACTGGTGCTGGTTTTAAAATTACATAAAAGTAGGACTTTTATATCAAGATAGATGGACTGACGGGCTGACCATGTCTGGTACATTCTATATCTGTAAGAAAAACAAGTACAAGGAAAAAAAATTAACTCTGGAAGACTCTAATCTTTTTAGAAGAATAATCTTTGATGTATGTCTCAGTTCTCTCAATCTGTCATAAAAATAGAAGACTCTTCAGAACTTTTGTATCAGCATAATATCACAGGTTGAAGCTCAACACAGATTGTTTGTTTATTTGTTTAGGAGCATGATTGGGGTGTAGCCAAAAGGGTAGGAGAGCTGCTATAATAATGAGGAGTTTGTCTTATTCTTTCCTACCTCATAATCAGAGCTCAGAAAATATTTTTAAAAATCAAGGGAGTTTTTATATTTAGGAAGTATATTCTTCTGAACGGTGATAGATGACCGTGGTTGGAAACTCCAAGGAGTCAGACTTTAACTCCATAGCGGAAGGAGGGTAACAGTTCATGCTGCGAAACAATGGATTGAGCTGCTTTATGAAGAAACTGGGTCCCTGCAAATAAATAATGGTACCTCATCAGAGCAGAGTCGGGATGAACACTTCCTGAAGAAGTTACACAGAGTGTGTGGATAAGAATTTGGCCTTAGTTGACCATTGAGGTCCACTCACGTGCCTGATATGATATGGTTCAGTGATTTATTGGTGGAGACAAAAAAAAAATGCCTTTCCCAAAGCTCCCCTTGTTATTTCTCCCTGGATATCATGGACGTGCCTATCCCAGGATGACGTGAGCTCTTGGTGTCAAGGCAGGGGCAACGTTATGAGGGAGGTACTCACGGAAGGTGGCCATGAGCGCCAGGGCCGAGAGCAGGGCAAAGCCTGTCACTCTCACGCTGCTGGCAAGGCCACGGGCAGTCAGATGGAGGCAAAAGGAGGGACTTCCTGGTGTTTGCCCCGTGCTGCCTTATACATTGTCAAGAGTTCCTGCCTCAACTGTGAAGCAGCTACTTACAGGAATCAGAATCCTGGGAAGAGGCCAGAAACACCTCTTTCCTGGGTACAGAAGTCCTTTTATTGTGAAAGACATTCTAATAGGCGATAAGACCTTGTGATAGGTAATAGGACCCAATAAACCTGGCATTATTTCCTTTTACCTTTAAGTCGTTAAAAGTTTCGGTGCTTTCACATTTGTCACACAATTTGATCTTCATAACGAGTCTGTTGCATAGTTATTGCCCTTTTCTTTGCTCTACAGATAAGGAAATGAAGTTACAAGAAAGTTAATTTCACTATATTTATTGCATATTGTACTACCTTTGCTAGGAACAGCTATTAGAATGGCAGCTTTATAGGTGTTGGCATGTTCCCAGATTCCCCTCTTTCTTCCTTCCTTGTCCAGCATCAGATGGAAAATGTTGCCAACTTAGACACCAGACAGGGCACAGAAAAAACAGTATCAATGCTCAAGTCTTTTTTTTTTTTTTTTTTTTACAGAACACCTTCACTATCTTTTATTTGAACCTCGAGACAATCCAATTAGTTTAGCAGGGAGGAATAAGAATACCTTCCTCTTTTTTGGGGGGTTGTCATGTTGTGCTATTTTTTTATTTAAATTATATTTTATTGTTTATGCTATTAGAGTTGTCCTAATTTTTTCCCTTTCCCCTTGTCTACTCAGACCCGCTACTCCTTCAGGCAATCCCCACGAGGCATGCACATAAATTCTTTGGCTACTATAGTTCTTATGCTGTACTTCACACCCCCATGACTATCCTGTAACAACCAACTTGTACTTCTTAATCCCTTCACCTTTTTTGCCCATCCTCCTGACTCCTTAACAAACCTACAGAATAAAGCTCATAATAACACCGTCATCATAAGCTTGTTGTTTTAAATAAGACTGTATAAGTAAAGCACTTGTTTAGATCTGGCACATCACAGGCCCTCAACAAATGCTCGTATTTGGTGACGACGCTATGATAATGAAGACGGTGTTGGTGACAGTGATCTGGAGAAGCAAACATTCAGAAAGCACTTAGGAATTATCTTAAAATAAACAAATGATGTACCTTTGCGGTCTTACTGAAAATAATAGATTGTGGCACCATAGAAAAAGGAACTTTGTAATGATCAGAGACGTGTAATAAGCCCAGAGGTGATGAGGATCTTATCAACTTAAGTGTCGCAATGGAGTCCAGGTGATTACCTTTTAGGGTACCTACCAAGGTGATTCCTTTATTGAATGTGAAAATAGCCTCCACCCGTATTCTTTCCTAACAGACATTCATAAGTAAACTCTCATAACTAAAAGCGACTCCAATAGTACAAATTAAGCTTTTAATATGTAAGACGCTCTGAACATAAAGAATTTGTCTCAATAGCCACCTGATTACTCAAAGCAGAGACTAGAAATCTGGCCACTGTATGCATAACTCTATGCCATTAATAACGTCCTCTCTCACAGCAAACATTTCCAGTTACTTACTGTGTCTTTGCTAATCTATACATCCGAAACGATCAAGTTCAGTTTCTTATGTCTATCCCCTTTGCCACAGATTTATTGATGCCCCCAAAAGCTCTCATCTGGAGTTTGCAGTAGTTCAGGTGCAAGATTATGGAGACTTTAACTAGGGTGGGAGATTTGGAAGTGGCGAAAAGTGACTAGACTTTGCAGACACCCTAACAGGGGCGCTAGCAGGGCCTGCTAAAGGATTCGGAGAGGAGTTTGAGAAGGAGAAGACTCACGGAAACCTCTCGTGCTTTTGGGTGGATCAACTGCTGAATGGCAGGGCCATTTCCTGGGATGGTGGAGCTGCTTGGGGGGCAAGTCGGGCAGCTAAGACTGAGTTTGATTTCAGATATGATCATGGAGGGTGTTCAATATATATTTTTTACAAACTGGGAAACTGTGTTCAGTAATTCCTATGCACTTTTTCAAGTTCTGTGCCTTTGTACTTGCTTTTCCCTTTACCTGGAATCACCTGTCCCCTACCTCACCCACCCATGAATTGCAATTCAAGGGGAGGCTTCCTCAACACCCCAAGCAGAATTAGACTCACCTTCCTCTATCGCCCATAGCAACTTGGTAATGTTTATGAAATACCATGGATCAAGCATTATATTAAATCACTAGTATATAGAGATGTATAGCCCTACCCTGAAAGAGCTTACAATCTAATAGGGATAGGGGAACACACCCACCAACTATTCAGTACAATGTTGTAAGTCGTATTAATACAAAATGCTATGAAACAACAGATGAGCAAATGATGGGTAGTCAGGCAAAAGCTCCAATACTTATTGTGTGTATGTATCACATGTAGGGTGCTTTGTGTTATTTCATTTAATCATGACAGCAATAGCCCCATACACCAAGCATAGGGTTTAACTATCCACCCAAAGTTGTTCAGCTTGCATGTGACAGAACTAGTTTACAAATGAACTCCTGACCCCTCAGCCATTTTTCTGCCAAACCAAATTCAGAGAAGGCTTCCTAGGAGGGATAAATTTGAGCTGAAACCAGAAGGGTAAAGGCAATTTCCGGCAGAGGACACTGTGCACATTCAAACACAGAGGGAAGGGGTGGGGGGAGCATTAGAGTCAGCGTCCTTCAGAGATAATGGGAGGGAGGGAGGCTGGGTGGGCAAAACCATGCTCAGGAGTCTAGATTTATCCTGCAGGCAATAGGTAACAAATGAAGGATTTTGAACAGAGAAGTAATAAAATCGGATTTATACAACAGGGAGATGACTCCAATATGGTACCTAGTATAGATTTACACGCCAGCATTTATTAGAGGTTATTTTCTAATTTATTTTAACTCCCCCTCTAGAGTTTGAGCTTTCATTGAACTGAACTCTGTTCCATTCCATGTGTATGTGAGCATGTGTGTATTTGTGTCTCGTGGTATTCCTTACACAAAACTTTCTCCTGTTTGAACAACCAGATTTACATGTTCCTCAGTTTTCTTTGCAAACTGAGATAGTACACCTGATATAAGAAATGAGGACAAACAGAAGTAAAGATAAACTCTCTGGGGTCTTTTAATGAAATGCAAAAATAAGCCAGTTGGTCAGTGAGGCATGAGTTCGAAGGAAAACATAACTTTCTCTACTCAACACAGATGACTCCACCTCTGTCCCCCACCCTCCAAACCTCTGCCACGATGAGGGAGAAGGTCTTCGGAGCCCAGGGACGATGAAGATGACACGAGGATATCATCGCTCTGCACCCACATCTACGGAGGAGTTAACATCTTCCTTCATGAAGAAACTGAACCTTTCCATAAGTTCTCCTATAGGAAGACACAGTTAACAAGATTCATTAACACTAGAGGAAATTTTGTGTAGTAGTAGCAGCGCTGAAAAGTGCCACAGAGCTTTGGAGGCAGAACCTCGTTTTGCAGGTGAGGTAATGGAGTCTGAAAAGGAGCGGCCTTGCCACGGGCAGCCTCTGACGGAGGCAGAAGCAGAATCCCCCTGGTCTAGGGATTCCGCCACCCCACCTGCTGCTCCCACTGATCCCAGAGCCCAGGCTGATCGCTCCAGTTCATAAAACAACAAAGATGGAGGGGTTCTGCCGGGGGGAAGTCAGAGTGGCCTGCCCTTCGCCTTTCCTGGCCAGCAGGGCCTGAGGTGGAGCTGTGTCCTGCTTAGAGAAAAGAGCTTCCACCACATGTCCACTTCAGTGTCCCTGAATACAAGCCGGTTTCCAGGCTAAGAGCCCCGTGTGTGCGCATGTTAGAGAAGCATCCCTTTTACATAGTAAATGTCCTGCACATAGGAATAAAGATGGAGACATATCCTTCCGGGCTCAACATCTAACTTGATATTTCAACCTGTAAAAATAATCACAAAGATGAAAAAGGCAAGATCTAAGGCAAGGGGCCACAATCCAGGGGTCTAAAAGCGAGTTAACAATGAGCAAAGTGGATTTGCTGCAAAACAGTAAATGTTAAGTTGCCTCTTCTGCACCGAAGAAGCGATATCTTCTTGGTTGATGGCCTTCAAAAGTACTGTGCTGGCCAAATAAAATATGCAAAGTAAACATGTCCACAGGATGCAGGTCCAAATACTGACAGTTTGCATCCTCCTATTTTAGATAAAGGAAAAAAAAAATCTTTGTGATAGCCTTATTCCCTCTAGCCCTCTGAAGGTGTTTAGAGATGCTGGGAAGTCGAGGAGGATAAAGGCCCTCTAGCCACAGTCTGTCCAAAGAGCAAGCTGTGTTAAGGCCTCTTAAAAGTTGTATAGGATAGTGGTTTTCAGTTATTTCTAGTATGGGGTTTAGGATCCTTTCTTCAAGCAAGACATGGTATGAAATTCCACTATTTAAAAGAGTCCAAGCTGAACTTGGAGTTGGAGATGACCCCAAATGATCCCCTTAACACTTTTGGTGACTTCGGACTTGGCTTACAGAGCCTCTGGGCTCTGGGACAGTGATTTGAAAATGCACAGTCTTGGTGGACTTCCTCAGTAGACAGACAAGAACTGGAGGTTCCAGGACGGATGGAACCAGTCCATACTGGCAGCCACTGGGGCCCGGCCCTAGCTCGACCGTGAGGCGGTTGGTTTTCCATCCCCATCGGCTGCTTCTGGGTGGAGAGTTAAGCAGGCTCATGGAGAGCGGAGAGGTTCTCAGTGGAAGACATGGCCCCAGCTCCTTTTTTCCCCCATGAGGTACTCACAGGGTCTCAGTACACAACAGGCATTCGTTCCCATAGGTGATGTAGTCAGAACCGCAGACAGGCATGTAGGTGATGGGGCAGGGGATGGCCACCACTGGGTACTTCTTGTAAATGGTGCAGTCCACCTGTGCCAGACAGCAGAGAAATGTCCTGCCTTGCTCCTGGCCCCCAAGCTAGGCTAGCCCGGCCTCTGTTGCACAGGAAGCGAAACGTCATTTTAGAAGTTGCAGCTCAGATACTCTGATGCTGTTTTTGCCACCTCTATTGATACTAATTCCATCACTATGACAAATACCAGTAATAGTAACACTACTTCTATTATCTTCTAGTAACTTCTATTCAGTTAACAACTCCTGAGCATTTCTATGCCAGGCGTTAAACTTAAATCTTAATCGCATTTTCTTTGTTTAATCTTCAGAACAACCAAATAGAGTAGATTCTACTTTTATCCCTATTAACAGAGACGGTGGGGGGAAGGGGGAAATGGGTAGCTTAAAAGAGGGAATTTGGCCCTGGCTGGGTAGCTCAGTTGGTTGCAGCATCGTCCCGCACACCAAAAAGTTGCAAGTTCAATTCCCAGTTGGGGCACAGACCTAGGTTGTGGGTTTCAATACTTGGTGTATATGGGAGGCAGCTGATTGATGTTTCTCTCTCTCTCTCTCTTTCTAAAAATCGATTAATATATCCTCGGATGAAGTTTTGTTTTTTTTTAAGTGGGAATTTGTATAACATAAAAACTAAGAAAGTGCTAAGGTTGGGATTTGAACCCAGAGTCTGTGAATTAACCAAAGTCTTGTCTCTTACATGTTGACTTTCCACGAAGACTTCACCAGCTGAGAGTCATCACTCTCTCTCCTTTAACTCTAAAATATATTTTTAAAGATTGTATGTATGTAGGTATTTATTTATTTACTTACTTACTTAAGAGAGGGGAAAGGAGAAAGAGAGGGAGAGAAACATCAATGGGTGGTTGTCTCTCATGCACCCCCTACTGGGGACCAGAACTGCAACCCAGGCATGCGTCCTAGACTCAGAATTGAACTGGCGACCCTTTGGTTTGCAGGCCAGCACTCAATCCACTGAGCCACACCAGCCAGGGCTAATTCTGAAATATTTTTTAAGGCTATGGTTATTTATAGGTATGTCATATTTCTTCAAACAGCAGAGGAGATTTCTTTATCTGTGTACTGCCTCTACCTTTTACCCCCTAAACACACTGATTTACTCCTACATATATATTTGATAATTATTGGTTGACTAAATGACAGTCAATAGGAATTGAAATGAAAATGTAATTCAATATACTCACAGTTGTTAAAGGCAGGCTAGCGGCTTCTGAAAGAGAGATACAGATGGAAATGTTAAAAATAAAGCAAAGTCTTAAAGTCTCATGATCTAATGTAAATTTGATCCATAAGATTTAGATTCTGTATTTCCTCTGGCAGTAAGTGTCAGTGCACACACCATTCTTACGCAAAATTCCAGCTGTTTGCTGAGGAAGCCAAATGGACAATGGATTAGACAAGCCTTCGGCTCAGGCAAGAGAATTACCCACATTTCCTCCCTTCGTGCCCATGGGATGTTCTCGGAAGCTCATTGCGACTTTGATAACGGCTCAGTCAGATCACCACTCAGTACCTCAGTACAGTCACCACTCCCAAGAGCCTGCCTTGGATATTCTTCCCCTTCTAAATGATAGAAAGGGATGTAATAAAATGTCTTTAAGGTGTTAGAATCTTTTTAATTTAATTTTCCAACCATATAAAAAGTCTAATTGTTGACTCCTGACCTTTGGAGAATTGTGTTTTATTTCAGTCCTTCTGGATTGACTCAGGGAGGCATCCAAGTTTTTCCGCATCTAGTGTCTAATAGTTCATAGAAGCGTGAAGTGTCCTTATATAATGGGAGACTTAGGAAGAAATGAGTTCATTTCTTTGTTCTATGGATGGAAATAAAAATCCTTGATAGTGAAGACCCTAGACCCAAATGCCCCAATTCCAGTAGAGACCTAAGATTCTCTCTTTCTTTGGCCAGGGCTGTTTCTTTTCTAAACCAGTATGCTTTTTATTCTAAACCAGTACACTTTAAATCCACATGACCAGACATTTGTCTCAGATGCTCACCTCCCAGGAGAGGTTATTTGGAAAAACAAGCTTAATGGCTGCACACTATCTACCTGCCCTTAACTCACCTGAGCTGCTGCAGAAGTATGTCACCATACAGAGCAGGAGGAGAGTCTTGATGGCCTTCATGGTGGAGGTGGCTGCGATGCCGAGGCTGCTCAGGGCTGTCAGAGTAGGAAAGGGGCCATGTTTATATGGCAAAGCTTGGCTTCTCCACCTTTCCTATGAAGTCATCCAAAGTCAATGCTGGCTTTGAGAGGCTCTCCAAGCACAATGTCACACCCTGGGTGGTGCTGCAGTCATTGTCACTTAATTGCTACTTCCTCTCTGACCAACACATTAATTATTTGAGGTGACAAGTATTTTTCAGTCTGTCCGAGAGGTGGGAACTGTTAGAATTCTAACCATCGTGTATTAGGAGATTTTAAGTATAGGCTGCTGTGGCCTAGTTATGGAATAAGTGAAAATATCAGTTTCTTTATTTCACAAGAATAGAGGGTATTAAATCCAGTTTAGATAGAGTATACTTTTGCTTATTCTTTTGCTTCTGGGAAGCTATTGTTTTATTTTTGGGGCAATCAACCTAGGAAGCAGGCTGGGACCTAGCGCAAGGAAGAGTGACTGGAAGTGTGGGGAAGCGTACTGACGTTTTCTGGCTGTGTGATCCTGGGCAAGTAGAACCACCTGGTTATATTGCAGTAACATACAACCCCAAGATTTATGTGACTTAAAACAATATGTTTATTTTTTTAATCAAGCTGTACATGTATGACGTATGACATGTATGGTCATCCGCTGATGGTGCTGCAATGTGTTCAACGGGCCCCAAGTGGGCAATTGTCACTATTTGGAATGTTGTTCATTGTTGTGGTTAAGTGAATGTGTGTCCTTGAGGATTTCCCTTTTCAGCAATTAAATATTTCAGCCCAGAAAAGACCCCACTATCACTTTCCCTCACCATCACGTGGCCTGGCCTAACCATAGAGGACATCGAGCGTGATCTTACCTTGTCCTTCGACAACCAGAACGTCAGTCTCATTCCACATAGAGAAGAACAACAGAATTCACATAATTGGCATCACTGATGTGAGAAATTTTTTGTAAAGTGCAGTGCATGTCATTGTAATTGTGATGATGATGATGATGATGATGATGATGAGGATGACGACGACGACTATTGATAACCTGATAGTATCTGCTCTGGGTCCCTGAGAGTAGCCTGCAACTGGGCTGTGCAGATGCAAATGTCCAAATGGCTGCTGCCTGTTGCTGAGTTTAAGGACATGTATGAAAACCTGGGGGAAAGCTGCTGTCTCTTCTCCACTAGCGCTGTGCTTGGCAGGTTTGTTTTCAGTACATTCTGAACGCCTTATCTCCAGACAGTAAGCTAATGACAAGTGACATCGCAGGACTTCCTAAAATTTCAACTCTTGCATCTGTTTGGGGATTCATATAATCTAGTAGTTAAGAATGTGGGCATGGAGTCCAGTGGATTTTATTTGGAATCTTGTTTCTTAATAAATGTTGACTTTGTGACTTTGAGTGTATAGGTTAAGCTCTGGATATTTTAGTTTCTCATCTGTGACAGAGAAACAATTTACCTCACAGAGTGGTTTTGAGGATTAAATGAGGTTATATATAAATCTTGTGTGTTAGACTGCCAAGATCCTAATCAGAGTTTGATGATGGTGCCTAATTATATGGAATACAAGCTTCATGACAACTCATTGAGGAAGGGCATTTTATGACTCATTTTACCAGTGAGTAAATTGAGGCTCACAGGATTTAAGTAATATCACCCAAGATTATGATATGAATTAATGGAGAAGACTGTGTTGAGTTCAGACACAAAAAGGAGGGAAGTAAATGTTCTAATAAAGAGATTTAGTTATATGTTTTCTTGTTGCAATGAGCATGTGGAGAGAATGAATACTGAGAAAAAGCCCTTATGTTTCAAGAAGAGGAGTCTTTGTGGTAGATGAAAAATGCAATTTTTACCATAGAGGGGTGGGAATGGGGTCAAAGGGTGATCAGGGTGAAGTAGAAATAGACGGTTACAGTATTTTTTTTAGATGTTTTATAGTAAAAGGGAGGAGGGAATGGAAGGAGCTAAACATTCAGCAAGGTCTAGGATAGACGACTCTGCACATTCTAGAGCCAAAGGAAAGAAGAAAGTTAAGACACATGGCAGAGGGTGGCTAAGGAGAGGAATATAGAAAAAGGAAGGAGCAAGATTAAAAGTGTGGACTGAAACACCATTTCCTCTGATACAAGGGACAGAGAAGACTAGCTAAAAGCAAAGACAGTGATATTTTAAAAGGGAGAGGGAGAAAGATGTAGGGCAACCCCCTGCAAGGTTGGCTCCAGCTGTTAAGCTCTGGCATTAACTCTGGCAATGGAAGGATTGGGTTGGTCTGGAAGCTGAAGAAGGACGGAGAAGGCTTGGCACAGACGTCGATGGGAGCATGCCAGAGCGTTGACCGGAATATGAACATGAATGGCCACTAGACAAAATGAGCAAAATTAGACATTAGCAGACCCAGTCAGTGGTACCAGGCTGAATATTTCTCCCAAAATACTGTATATTATGACACTGAGTAAGAAATGGAAAAACAGAGATTTAATGGATAGGGAGTGTGTCTATCAGAGACTTGAAGGGGAGCCATAAAGATTGTGGTAGGGTTGGAAGAGAGTTAAGTAAACAGGAAGGTTCTTGGTGTGTTGTGCAAGTTGTGAGCAGTTAAGGGTTCAGAGGTCAAGGCGTGGGCTATGTGTGAACTTAATAGGTGTAGAGAGTATGAACAACAGTGTGTGAAGGCTGTGGCTAGTAGGCCGTTTGGATTAATTTCTCAGGGGTGTGACTGAGATAATGATCCTCAGGGTGTATTCAAAGATAAAGTAGATGAAGGATGGTTGCAGATAAAGGACTTTGCATTTAAAACAGTGAGGGCAAGTGATCCGGTGTGGATTGCTTTGGGTTTTGGCAGCTGTTCACACAGAGAGAAAATTTTCAGGTTGCACAATGAGGCACAGATGATGGAGGGGCCTTTAGGAGTGAAAGATGAAGCCTGTGGAGTGTTGGGGTTTTTTTAAAGCCTTTTTTTTTTTTTGCAGAGGGCACTTTCTTTATTCCTCCTCGTATTCCTGCGAGGGGCCAAAACTTGAGGCCTTGTCAGAGGGGATCACTATGGCAATGGTTCCGCTCTAGGGGAGGCAGAATAGAATTAAAAACAAAGAGAAAAACGTAAACGTGAAGGAAGAAAGGTCTGAGAGTGTTGAATCACTCCTTTCTTCCCCCAGTGGATCTCAGGTGCCACAGGGAAGAGTGAGGTAGCCCGTTCGAAGGTTAGAGAAGGGCAAGAGAATTAAAATGGAGCAGGGCTTGAACGGAGAGTTCCTGGGTAAGTTAGCGGGAAGGAAATGGGCAGACCAGTACCACAGCTGGGCAGTAAACCGAGTACAGAATAACAGCTGTAGGAAGTGAAAGTTGTAATAAGACAATTAACCACATATTAAGCACTCACTAGAGCTGTGCTATACCTGCTGTGCGCACTATCTCATTTAAGATTTTCAGTAATCTTACAGGATAGATGCGGTCATTTGCCCTATTATGTAGCTATGGCAGCAGACACTTAGGGAAGCAGCTAAAGTTAAGAGCCAGTGCTTTAAATGTTGCCTTTACACTTAACTCTAAGCAGTAGATTTGGAGACACTTTGAAAATCAGAATGACAGGAGTTACATGGGCAGAACCAGAGGAGTCAGGAAGGACAGCTGCTGTTTCAAATGAGGCAGAGGGAGCGGAGCCCTGGGTCCAAGTGTACGGCACTGCCCCACGCAAAAACAAGGAGGGTCCCAGTGGGGAGCAGGGATGATTGAGAGTCAGGAGCCTAGGCTTCTTCCTCTGTCCACTCACCCTTGTCTATCGAAGGGGCAATGTGTGACAGTCCCTTTTCCATGCTGTGTTTTCTGCTTCTCAAACATCACGTGAGATTAGCCTAGGGTTAGTGTTTTGAGTTTCCCAGTTAACAACAATCCCTCCTTGGAATGCTAGTGTGTGCAAATGATGAATAAGGCTGAAGACTTGGGGTGAGTGGCAAGAAGTTGCAATTCTCCAACGAGATTCTATTTTTCCCTCCAAATGGCTGCACCAGCCCACCCCTCACCCCACCTCGCCCTGGCTCCTTCCTTCTCAGCAGCCAGCACACATCCAGTCAACACCTGGAGGCCTTCTTGTGACAGTTTTAAAATCGGTGGCCTGGATTTGGCTGGACTATCTCTAGCTTTTGGTCTGTCTTCTTTTCCCTCCCCTGTGTGATACTTTTACACTCCGGCTCTTCTCTTCTCTTTTTCCTTTTTTTAAGGTAGCCCCCACTGTGATTGTGCCCCTGTATGCACTGAAGCACAGTGACATTTACATTTTGATCTTGGGCCTAGCAGGACCTTGTCCCCTGGCTCTCTTGGGAACAGGAACTTAGCACATGCAGGGATACTATGTTTTGGTTCTCTTCTGTTTTCTTTGAATGACTGAGGCTAAATAGTTTCAATCATGAAACTACTGAATGAACATTAATGATTAGTTTTTCTTATTGGTTCATGTTGCTCTTTGATGACCACATACTATCTGGATCTAGACTATACACACACGCGCACACACACCCCTCTCCCAGCTCCTGTTTGTGAAATCTTGTCTATTGTGCTCCATGCTGAAGAGAACATGTATAATCCCTGAGTCAGCCAACATTAGCACATGCATTAGTCTGTTAAGACTACCCTAACAAAATACTAAAGTATATTGATGTAAACAATACTGATGTAAACAACAGAGATTAATTTTCTCACAGTTCTGGAGGCTGGAAGTCAACAAGATCAAGGTGTTGGCAGGGCTGGCTTCTCTTGAGGCCTCTCTCCTTGGCTTATAGACGCCATCTTCTCACTGGGTCCTCACAGGGCCTTTGCTTTCTGTGCAGGACCCCTGGTGGCTCTTCCTTGTCTAACATGGATTAAAGTCCTATCAGATCAGGGCCCCACCTTTATGACTTCATCTACCCTTCATAAGCTCTGTAAAAGTACTATCTCTAAATGCAGTCACACTAGGAGTTAGGCATTTAACACATGAATTAGGGGAGTCGCAATTCAATCTAGAATATTCTGACATCTGCGGTCCCACCCCCGAATTCATGTCATTTTTACATGCAGAGAATCATAGATCTTCACTCTTCAAGACACTGGTATTCCATGAAAAGTTAATTGGTATGTCATGACAAAAGGATTCTCTGGTCAACCGGATTTGGAAAACCCTGAATAATCTATTTTATTTGGGGAATTATTTATTACAGGCTTTTGCAATATAGAATTTTTTCCACTTTGTTTAACTCAACTTCCCCCAAAATTAATTTGCTACAGTCTACTTATTATTTTACAGGACATTTAATAACATCTAAAGGGATGCCAGTGTTTTTGTGAAATGAAGAAATAAACATTTACTCCAATTTTGCATAATGTCATAATATCTAATATATAGACTCGTTACAAGGTAGATTACTGAACTGCTCAGAATTTTTTTTCCATATTGAAAAGAACTCCATCTCTACATGCCTTCCATGTACTCTACAAGTTCTCTACAATCGAGCCCAATAGAATGAGTCTGCTCTCTTTCTAAGTAGGCCTCTTCAGATATGCAAAGGCAGCTAGAGTACCTAGAAAGGTCTTTTTTCCTCCAGATGATATGGATCAGCTTCTTTAATATTTCCTTTACAGTATGTCATCCTGTAAGTCTTCCTTGCCCTGACACATTAACACAGCGTCACTTACAAACAGCGAAACACAAGTCACTGTCAACTTTATCACTTCTCTTCCCTGTTCCAGGCGGCGTGACCCTTGCCACAGGTTCACAGCTGAGCAAGACAGGCAAGGGATCTATTTCGTGGGACTTTCTTGTAGAGTGGGGAAAAAAAATTGAATGAGGTCATACAATGATTTCATATGTTGACAATTATTTAAAAGAAAATATATCATACTGGGCTAGAGATTGATATGGAAATAGGGGACAAACTAGATTGGGTGATCAGAGAAGTCTCTTCAGAGGAGATGGTGTATGTGACCAGACACCCAAATAATGAGAAGAAGCCAGTCTAGGCATCACATTTTCTCCAATTCCAGTATTATCCAAAATGGTTGGTTTTCCCTTAAAACATTCAACTTATAAATCAGACAGGAACTAGCCTGTGTCTTTTGTGATTAGGCTAAATGTTGTGTACTGAATTCTATGTGAGACTGGATTTAAAAATTCTTTCACCTATTTTTCTTTTTTAAATTGCCTTTTTCCCATGTTTCTCCCTTCTTATTATTTTCTGTTACAGCTTTTCTTGTGACGATTTTAGTTAGAGTCCGAGTCTAGGAGTTTATGGCCTCAAGCACTCATTTCGTGCCTATTGACTGAACTTCCATTATGTGCCTCACCTGCTACTGTCTGACCTTGTTTTATTCATCATCATTGCAGCACTCACGACTACCTGCTACCGCCACTCCTCTATCTGTGTATCATTAATCTTCCACCAGTAGAACGCTGGTTCCACAAAAACAGGCTCCAGCCTGCCTTGTTTATTTGCTTATATCAGCTCCTAGCTCAGTGCACTGCACAGAGTAGGGCTACTCAATAAATCATTACTAAATGAGCAAAGAGTCCTCGGTCAAAAAGTAGAGTAACACAGAGTTCATCCAGCATTTGGATGAAGTAATCCGTTCTTACGTCAGTGCATTTAAAAAGAAATAAGGCTCACGTCACTGGAACTTAAAATAATTCAAACATTTTAGGTTGAATTTAACTTCCATAAGAAGAGCAAATTGCAAAACGTTTGACACATTCTCCACTACTTTTTTTCCTAAATGACTCAGAATTAGCTTTAAGTTGAAACCAGACTGTCGTCTGACTGAGCAAGGGCCCCTTTGCGGTTACCTTCAATGCATGTACCTATCAGAGTTGACAGGGAACTTCTACCTGCTCCTCTCTAGCTGCTACCACCATTTCATCCATGCAAGGAACTCACCAATCCTAGCAGTGTTCAATCATAATCTATAAAAAGATTTATCAGCTAACCAAGATGCTTTGGTGATTAAGGTTATGCCTAAATACTTAAAGGTGTATACTACCTAAATGTAGCATGTCCAGACCACATAGAATGAAATAATAAAAATAGGACTTGAGAAATGACTGAAGTAAATGCCTGGAGAAAAGAGATTTGAGTATGTCTTGAGGAGAAGACAGAATATTCATCCTCTACTGTTATCGGTGAGTGCATGTCTTTTGTTTTGCCATGGAAGGTTCTGATGGTCGAAAGCATGATTAAAGTAGGTTTTGATTCAAGGTAAGCAGTGTTTCCTAAGAACCAGACCTCCACAGCGCTGTTCATATTTGTTCAGACAGTGAATTTCCCATCAGTGGGATGTCCTGGTCGATGCTAGGCCAGCAGGAATGTTGTGGAAGAAGTCAGAGGCTGTTTAGATGGTCTCTGAGTCCTCAGTCCAACTCAGACAGCCAGTGACTACCGGAATGAGGCCCTCAGTCAATGCATTTGAGATTGAATCGACGTTCCTCATGTTTGATATAGTGACAAAGTAGTATACATAGCAATGCTAATTACACACATGTTAATCACTTTTATTTTCCAAGTTAAAATTCTCATTGTAGAGATAAAACAAGCTAGCCCAGAGAGAAGTTCCCTTCCCAATATCACTTCCTCAGTGACCTCATTACCTGTTCTTTCCATTCTTCTAGTTGCTGAGAACAAGCAGGAATGGAGGGACTCAGTCTAGGAAATAGTTCTCACCACATTGCTGTTAACGTAAACTGGTGTAGCCACTATGGAAAACACTATGGAGGTTCCTTTAAAAACTAAGAATAGAACTACCACATGACCCAGCAATACTTCTTCTGGGAATCTATCCAAAAAATTTGAGAACACTTATTCATCAAAATGTATGCACCCCTAAGTTCATTGCAGCGTTAGTCATGGTGGCCAAGACATGGGAAAAAACAGTATCTTTCAATAGGTGACTGGATAAAGAAGATGTGAGATATATAGATATATAGATATATATACACACTCACACACAATGCAGTACTACTCAGCCATAAAACATGAAATACGGACATTGGCGACAACAAGGATGGATCTTGAGAATACGCTAAGCAAAAATAAGGCAAACAGAAAAAGTAAAAAAACCCATCTGATTTCATTCACATGTGGGATATAAGGCTGAAAACAACAAATGAACAAACAAGACAAACAAAAACTCATAGACACAGAGGGAAAAGGGGAGGTATAATAGGGTAAAGGGGGTCAAATATATGGTGACAGAAGGAGACGACTTTGGGTGGTGAATATACAATGCAATATACAGAAGATATATTATAGATTGTATACTTGAAAGCTATACAATTTATTAACCAAAGTCACCCCAGTACATTTAATAGAGTTTAAAAGGAAAAAGAAAATAGTTCTCAAATGTAGACGTGCATTAGAATGACCTAGAGAATTAACACAGAACACAGAAGCCTAGGCTCATTAAAATAGGGTAAGCCTGGGCCTCTATACAAAAGCTTGTAGAAAGAAAGCCAAAGAAGGGGGAAGCTATGAGAGGTGGGGGTCCTTGCTGCCGGCTGAGATAGCCTGTTATTTAGCTGGAAAGGCCATGGAGAAAATAGGAGTTGTATGTCCTCCTCTGGAAGCTACTGTTTAAATAAAGAACTAGTCAATATTCTTTGTGTGAAATTTTAATCAAAAGTGGTTGAAGTGTTAACAGTATTCTTTAAAAAACTATCTAAAAGATTTCTAAATGTTTGCATTATCCCACAAAGGCTGATTTCTAAAAACTTAAACTTAAAATTAAAACAATATTTATTTTGCCAAAAAAAAAACAAAAACAAACAAAAAAAAAAACCCTAGTTAGACTAAGAAGAGTGAGACTGACATCTAGTGTCAACAACAAGTAATGACACAGAGCACACAGAAGCCAGAGGCTTTTTTTCCCCACTGTTCATTTCCCAGGCCTGAAATGTAAAAATGACTTCACCATCCTGTATTGGTCCAGATATTTCCATTTAAGTGACACATTATAAGTCTGATTAAGCAAAAAAGAAAAAGGAATTTATTGACCTGCCTAATAGTAACAGTGAGACGGAATGGGGATTAGGTATGCTGGAACTAGGCAGTCAAATGATGTCAACGCTTTCTAGCTCTCTCCAAAACATGTCAGCCCCCACAAATGCTTGGCTATCCTTCTCCCTCCTTCTATCAGCATGTGGAAATTTTTCTCTCCTTATGATGGTGGGCTTCCCTCCTGAATAGCAGGTAGAAAGCCTCAAACAGCTGTGTGTACGTGTGTGCAGGATATTTTCTCTTGCTCATGTCTTTAAGTGAGATTATGAGGGACAGGGTCTGACCTTACATATAGGCCCCCTGCAATCCGCAATAAACTAAACTCAGGAGAGTGCGAGGTAAGCCCACTTGATAACAGAATTTAGGCCTGAGCAAAATGAAAGCTGTCTTTAAACGATGGACACACAGGGATGAATGTTGGCCGCCTCTTTTATTAAAATGTTTCTTTGGAATAAATTCAGTATTTGGCTCTCCATTAGTTTCATTTTTCTTCCAATTTTGTTGCAAATTTAGTTTCAAAAAACAAATTTGAGTGCAACATATAGAAAGGTATTTATTGCACAGTCTCAAAAGAATGTGTACATTCCAAATGAAGTGATTTTCAGCATTAAGTAGTGAAAAGAATAAGCAAATGCAATGCTCTGTTAGTTATCAGAACATTTCCCATATTTTTCAAATTGAATATGAGGACCAAATTCCCTAAAGAGAAGAGAAGAGAAGAAGATTAGCATCACACAGAAAGATTAGTATCATTGTTCCACATTCTCTTATCTTTTGAATGGCATCCTAAGACAGGGCGCTGGTTCACAGTTCCCTTTGTACCCATCTCTTCTCCATCCTGTTTGTCCCCACCCTAGCTTGCCTGTGCCTCCCTCTATGTGGTGATTATTAAAAAAGCGTACTGTGAAGTTTTTCGACAGAGAATATTTCATCCCTTCATCCGCTCCTATTTTGATACCTTTGCATTCAACATAGCAATGCCAGACTTTTCTACCAAGAAGTAAAAAATAACCATAGCAATAATGCAATACATAATAATTCACATATTTCACCCTCTCCCTTCCAATTTTCACTAGGTTTATGTGTCTATAGACTATGGGCTGTTCTCCTTACTCTAATATTTATGTATTCTAGAAGTTAGCCTCTGCTTAACTTTCCATCCTTATATATTACTGTTCTCTGAATACATAACATTCCTTTCAACATGATTTTTCTCTTTATTTCCCTAAGATATTGTACATTTTATCAACTCCAAATGTTCTTCAAGCAATGAGTCCTGTGTAAATTGCCTATTCTCTTTTCTTTTGCTTTTTGTTTCTCCAAGAAGCCTTTAATCTTCTCCTTTCAGAGACTCCCCTTCCTGATCCCTATATGAAGTTTACCTTTAGTATCTATCTACTCATTTGGATCAGGGCTTATGCATGCAATGGCTTGCAGTACCCAAACTACTGATATAAGTGAAGTGAGCCACCTTTACCACAATAGAGAAAGGTAGGTTTCTAGCTACCTGGAATGTTTCAACTCTGTTTGAATGGGCAGCTATTCAATTTTGCTAACATGCAAAATCCTAGCTTACTATTAGTATAATGTTCGATTTTTCAAAATAAGTTGGAAATCTGCATTTTCAGGTAAGGTCTGATTTTTCAAAACTTACTAAAATACTGTTTTGGCTGAATAAAACCATTGCTATTCTCTCTTATGGATTTTCCTATGCATATATTCTTTTTGCCAAACAGGACCACATACTTCTGAAGGGTCTGGTGTCTGTTTCTTAAACTCTCCATTTTCTTGCTAGTTATTATCAGTGCCCTACACTGAATAGGTTTGGGGGCCTGTAAGGACCGTGACAATGATTCTGTAGTAATCCTGGCCAAGACTTGCACTCTTCAGTTTTCTTTTCCCAAAGGATTTACACTGTTCATGAATGGCGGGTATCTTTCAGGACCGTGAGTCCAATTTGCCAGAATTTCTCTTGAAAACTCTGCTAAAAGCAGAGACATAGGAATCACTCCTCTCCTTCTAGCACCCATTCATCATTCTTTGCCAGCACTGGTAGAAACTTGGTCCATTCACATTGTTCAGTTCTCAGACTTTTCTTTTAAAGGACATTTTAATCATCCTCCGAGGCCAGTGTTTGCTCTGAAGATGAACAAAATTTTCTTTGCTGGATGAGCTTCTAAGGCTGTTTCCTCAATGCTCAGCAGTAGTCCTCCTGGGATGGTAACACGATGCTGGGAGCCCATGTGGATTCTTCCCAAAGGAAGGTGTGCGTGAAAGAGTTAGTTGATTCAGCAGACTGGGGACGCTCAACTTAATTCCAGGGACGCCATGCCTGATGAGACCGTCTTTGCAACCCTGGTTGTACGCCACACCAGGGAGTTTATGCTCAGATGAAAGCCTGTTGTCCTGAGCCACTCTGTATCATTTTGACCCCCTTTTTTGGGGTGGTGTCAATCATACAGGCATTGCATGCCTCAGTGACTGGCCCCCAACAAATAGCCTGGGCACTAAGGCTCTGGTGAGCCACCTAGGTTATCGACGCTTCCTCTCTATGGTCATACGTCATCGCAGGGAGGCTGGTGGGAGAAAACAACTAGAAGTCTGTCCCTGGCCTCTCCTAGACTCCATCCTGTGCCCTTGCTGATCTTAATCACTATTCTTTCATTGTAATAAACCATTACCACACATAGAACAGCTTTTCTGAGTTCTGTGAGTCCTCCTAACAAATTATCAAACCTGAGGGGGGTCTTGGTCATGGGAGAGTTACTGTCAAGACACAAGGCCAATTTGTGAAAACAATTTCAAATGGAGTTAAAATAAATCACAAGGAATATTAATTTTTTAACCTAAATTTACTATTGAATTTATTTGAAAGTCAACTGTCAATTTTTACCATATAAGTACTTTGTTACTCATACGTATATTTACACCTGTACCTACACCTATATCTGTGTCTGTATCTATTTATATCTACCAAACAACAATTATAGGTGTTATTCATAGGTATGTCAATGTGAGTTGTTACAGGTAATTTGAGTGATTTCTAAAAATTGGATTTCTATTCATTGCTTGAATATAGACTATCATTGATTGAATATAGGCAATTCAATCAAAAATCATGTAAGGTTTTCTTTTTAATGAGTCAACTTGGAATGTGCACTACATTTTTAGAAAAGAAATCACTATATATGTAGTCTGTCTCAATCGTTTGTGAATAATAGAGGCTATTCTTTTTTAAAAATCCCATGCATTAGTAAATCCAGTTCCTTTGCTAAGATTATTTGAAATTTCTGTGAAGAAATACTGAGAAAAAGTAATGCCATTTTAACTTGAACTTACCACCGAGCAACACAAAATTGACACTCATTCTGGTAGACTTGGCCGCGTGTAGTACAAACATACGCAGTCACATTGGGGCAGAACATGTCATTCCGAGATTCCGGTGGGTAGTATATTTCACATGGGGGCTGCAAATATTATAAAATATTATATAACTAACGATTGATAGATACCCCCCACCCCGCTCCTATTTATTCCTGTCCTGCCACTTCTGTCCCATGTAGAAACAACCTCAAATGTTATAAGTCAGTTGATCTTTTTCAAGGATTTTCTCTACTCTGGGCTTTAGTCAGGCAAGCTTTTTTCTAATGGACGTGTCTTCAAACATCCCATCATTTCTTCAAGTTATGAGCATTATCATATCTCAGCTTAAACCCCAAATGCAAAGTTTTTATCTAAATGTGGAGCCCCAAAGCCAGAAATATCATAAGGAGCCTGTGAACTTTGAGACGACAGAGGCCCACACGTGGCTATTGAGAGAGAGTGTTTGGCTCAAACAGACTCACAGGTACAGAGAACCGACTGACAGTTGCCAGAGTGAAAGGAACTTGCGGGGCAGCATGAAAAAGGTGAAGGTATCGAGAAGTGCAGGTGGGCAGTTACAAAACAGTCACGGGACGTAAAGTACAGCACAGGAAGTATAGTCAACTGTATTGTAATAACTACATGTATGGTGCCAGGTGGGTATAGGAAATATCAGGGGAGTCATGTTGTAAATTACATAGTTGTCTAACCACTATGCTGGACACCTGAGACTAATATAACTGAAAGTCAACAGTAATTGACAAATAAAGTGTTTTAAAAAGAGTGAGGGCTTCTATTGAGACTGGGAGTAAATCCTATCCACGCCACTGTTTAATATTGTGACCTTGAGCAAGTGACAGGTATTATTTCATTTAATGCTCAAAGGTATATTTTCCTCTCATCATGCTTGTGTTACTTGGGAGTAAATCTAAGTCTGGAAAAGTTAAGATACATGTCTAAGGTCATATAGAAACCTTTCTATTCTACTTTACCACTATGAAGTTTTAGGTCTCTTATGTCAAGAGAGTGATCAGATTAGAATCAGAATTCAAGAGAATCAAGATGGCAGAGGAGTGAGTGGAAGTCACACTGACCTCTTCCCAGGACCAACCTGGAAGTATAACTAAATTGTGGAGAAATCACCTGGAACAAACAAGTGAACAGTAGCGAGAGAGGAGCCTTATAACCTCGGACAGACAGAAGAATCAGCTTTAGCACAACCTAAGTGGTAAGGAGTGTGGTAGAAGCTCGAGAAGGCAGGCAGGGCACCCATGGGTGGCAGCACCAGACAGATATTGAAACGGCCAGTGGGATCCCCCTGAGAAAAGCGGGTCTAAACCATAAGCAGGGATCTCCAGCCTACAGCACCAGGGCCCAAAAAGTACACAGATAACAGCCAGATGCGAAAAGCGGCAGGGTAGCTCTCTGCCAGAGACAGGAGGCTGGAGATGGAAAGAGCCATTTAAAGGGCCAACGCATAAATTTTTATTTGCAGCCACTTACCCTGGGCTTCAGCAAAGGTGGGGGCAGAGTGAGCTAGAGATGCCAGAGGAGAGACTGAGGAAGGAGGCTCTGGGGAGAGAATGGAGAAAGTAGCTGGCGGGATCCCAGTGCTGACTCCTCCCCCATACGGCAGCAGCCATCTGGCTCAGGCAGACCACTCCCCTGAGCGGCAGCAGCGTCAGAGGACCCAACAGCCCCATACCCAGGAGGGACTCTGCCCCGCCCTGTGGTATCTCTAAGCCAGCCTGCTGAGTGCAGGATGACTATATTAACAGCTGAAGGAGAGAGCCACAGACAATAGATTCCTGGAAGTCTCAAATAGACTGCCTAAGGTCAGACAGGGTCAACATCTGACATCAGAGGCAGATACAGAAAGAAAAAAACAGCAGTCTCCTACCATAGAAGTTCATGCCACAAAGTCAGGAAATCAAGACAGATTAATTTAAGAAGCAGAAGCAAAAGAGAAGAGCCTCACAAATAATGGGAAGACAAAGAAACATGCCCCCTCCCCCCAGTTGAAGGGAAAGGAGGAATCCCCAGAAAGAGAACTAAATGAAATAGAGGCAAGTAAACTATCAGATATTGAGTTCCAAGCAATGATTCTAAGGAAGCTCAATGAGCTCCATGAGCTCAGAAATAATTACAAAAAACTACAGGGAAACCACAAGGAACTTACTGCAAACTATATCATCATGAAAAAGGACATAGAAACTATTAATAGGAGACAAGAGGAAGTGAAGAATACAATTTCTGAATTGAAGAACACAGTAGAAGGAATAAAAAGCAGGCTAGATGAAGCCAAGGATTGAATCAGTGAGCTGGAGGATAAGGTAGAAAAAAGCTCCCAGAGAGAGCAAGAAAATGAAAAAAGACTCAAAAAGAATGAAGAGGTATTGAGGGAAATGCAGGACAACCTGAAACATAAATAATGTCTGTTTAATAGGGATACCAGAAGGAGAAGAAGAGGAACAAAGGATAGAGAACCTGTTTGAAAAAGTAATGATGGAAAACTTCCCTAATGGGAGGAGAGAAAAAGTCAAACAAGTCCAGGAAGCATAGAGGGTCCCACTCAAGAGGAACCCAATGAGGCCCACTCCAAGACACATCCTCATTAAAATGGCAAATATCAAAGACAGAGAATCTTAAAGCAAGCAAGGGCAAAAGGGGTAGTAACATATAAGGGAGCCCCAATACAACTAGCAGCTGACTTCTCAACAGAATCACTACAAGCCAGAAGGGAATGGCAAGAAATATTCTAAGTCATGAAAAGCAAAGGCCTGCAACCAAAATTGCTCTCCTCAGCAAGGCTTTCAATTAAAACGGAAGGCAAAATAAGGGGTTTCCCTGACAAAAGAAGGCTAAAAGAATACACCTCCACCACACCAGCATTGCGAAATATGCTAACGGGACTGTTTTAAGAAGATGAAGAAAAAGAGTCTATGAATACCCAGTTCCTTTCACAGTCACCAATACTTGACATTACTAATATTTGCAATACTTATTAATCTGATTGTGATAAAGATGTGTTATTTTAATTGTTACTTTATTAGTTGTTGAAACTAAACCTGTTTCTGTATTTAAAAAAAAAAGAATCAGAATTCAGAACTGGGAAATTTAAATTTACCTTAGGCCATCTAGAAGGTTCACGTGGTTTCAAGAATCCTGCAAACACACAATAGATTAAAAAAATAGTTTTCCATGGAATATGATTTTACCAATTGAAGTTACTAACTGAATAAAGAAACGTAATTTAATTACACATTTGCACAAAGGTATACAACAGAGTTGGTGGGTGGTAACTACTTTATCTATTTGTTTATTCTTCCTTTCATTTTCATAGTCCTGACTTCATTTGTAACTTTGCTGTGTTGTTAAGGAAAGAGTAAAAACCATACAGGGTTGTACTGTCATAACATGCCAAGCGTGTTATTTTTATCAATGACTCAGCTTCGGCTGGCTTTAGTTTCCTTTTCACTACTATTGGGATAAGTATGTGCATTTGAAAGGCTGTTGTAAAAATTAAATATGACATAGTAAATAGGGTATTAGGCCTACTCCTTCCGCGAGGATGTACTAAAGATGACAGTGAATGATGAGAAAACTTAGAAGGTCCTTGGCTCTAGGGAGACCGAGGGACGTGGTGAGCTGGTTTGGGTGACAGCTGCTGGCATTATTTGGAGATAGACAGGGACCAGCTGGCTGTGGGAGAATGAAAGAAGCCATATTGTAGCTCTGCTCTTACTTATCTCTCACTGTCAATGATATTTAAAATATCCAGGAATAAGTGTTTCAAAGGAGAGTATTAAGTGAAAGAAGTCAAGCAGGAAAAGACAAGAACTCATGGTTTCACTCATATGTGGGATAGTAAACAAAAGCAACAAACAAAAACAACAGGCATCTATAGCATGCTATCTTTTCTGTTAGAAAGTAGGAGAAATAACAAGATATACATATGTATGTTTATTTGAGCAAAAAGAAACACAGGAAAGAAAATAGAGACTAATGAATTGAGTACATGCAGGAGGACGGTAGGTTCGGAGTAAAAGAAAAGGTATAGGGGCAATGATGCTGTTTCAATCTAAACTTTTGTTCATCTTGTTTAATTTCCCTTATGTTCAAAATGACTTTCAATTGCCCTTCTGATTCTTCTTGACCCATGCCTTGCATAGAAGCATGTTGCTTAGTTTCAGAGAGTGCTTTTTCCAATAATAATACCCAATCGATACCAATTCGCACTGTCAATCCCAACGGTCTAGGTTTCAGCCAAACATTTTTCCACCTAGCCACGTTATTTCTTTCCTTCCCTACAACTAAAAGAAAATCATATGCCTCTCTCCTAAGATCTATACATTTACTTACCTGAAAACACAGCTTTTTCCCCAGTGATGGACATCAGGAGAAAGATGGCCATGTAAGGGAAGGCAGCCATTTGATCTCGTCTAATGTCCTGCTGGTGAAGGCCTGTGAAAATGCTCAAGATAGTTAATTCCTGATCCCTTGCCCAGCCAGCTTTCCAAACATGAGAGAAATCTTCTGCCCAAGGTGGCGCCATTTCCATATACTTGGCCATGACAGTCTTATCCTGGCCTGGTCTCCAGAGATTCAGACCCAAGAGAGCCCTTCTGCTCTAATGAGGGAAAGAAAAGTAGAACAAGTCTTTCCCCCCCCCCCCCTTTTTTTGTCTGCCAGCGGCCAGTGTACAGTCATCGTCCTGGTTTGGAGGAGGAATTAGGCCCAGGGTTCCCACCTCAGGCATGTTACCTATAAATAGGTTCACCCTGTTATCAGACAGGAACCGGCTGCAGTAGGTCTGCCAAAGGCCGTCCCCAGTGTGTGGGTTCTTGACTTCTCACAGGGAAGATTTCACAAGATGAGTCCAGGTGATTTTGACAATATGCTTATTAAAGCTGCAGACAGTGAAATAAAGGAAAGACTTAGGGTAGAAAAAGTAAGAGGAGAGAGCCTAGGCAGGATTTTGCATTGGCTCCCTAGAAACGTCATAGGAAAGGAGCGAGCCAAGGTGGGGCTGCTGTTAGCTCATTGTGAGATGAGGGAGAAAGGGGGGCCTTGGAGACGGGATTAGAGGGTAAGCCCAGGTCGAGCTGTCACTGCCCACTGCTCCCCTGGCTGCAAGTCTCCTGGGACCTTTAGAGTTCAGGAGGAAATAATAGGTTCATACCTGAGAAGGGGCATGGGGTGCTCTAGAGCAAGACCTCACTGAGTCTTTGTCCTGAGGGCTTTTATCTTTTCTTCTGAAGGTGAGAACCCCAGGGGAGGGTTTCAGCAGAATATGCATCAGCTTTCCAGATGCACTTCTAGTATGCTGATGTGTCAAAATGAGCATATGAGGGGTTTTGAGAATGTTCTTTGATCTGCTATATTGTTTTACTTTTCTTGGGTCAGTCTGGTTTTTAATGGGGTTTTTGTTATTTGTTCCCCTGACCTCATCTGTCCTTGGGTTTAGCTGGTAAAAGTGGCATTAACTGGGTCTCTGTTCTCTATCTCCCAGACCAGGGAGATTTAAGCTACGTATTCTTTGGTTAGGGAGGAGGGGTACAAACCATTTACTCTCAAGTGTCCTTGGTTAGGGGAAATTAAAGTTCTTGCGATTCACTAGCTGGCTGTAATTTGCTGAGACTGTTTGATCTTGTTTAGCTCTCTTGTCTCAGTTTCCCCATTCCACGTGCCCAGGAATTTTCATAGTGTTTTACTATCCTGCCTCAACCCTACAACAGACTATCTCAACTGGGACATTCATGTTAGTGAACATGGACCCCAAGAATTTAAAGGAATTCCAAGATCACAGGTGTGAACTCAGGTCTGTCCTGCATAATCAGATAAAGGTAGCCTTATAATGCAAGCTTTTTGACTCCCTGGGACAGACCTGTTTCTCCCACACTGAAGGCCTTCTTTTTCTAGTGAAGTTTCTGCTTCCAGCCCGTTACATGTGCTCAAATATGAAGAATGGATTAAAAACGGAGTCACTGGTCCCAGGTCATAAAAATTACATAGATCTTCCCTGAAGCAGGAATCAAGATATATATCTATAGCTAGATCTAAATATAATTTTTATGATTCATACATAGGTACACAATGACTTTTATGACTCATATATTGGCACTCATAGACGGGTGTGGGTGTGTGTGTGTGTGTGTGTGTGTGTGTGTGTGTGTATTCAAATTCTGGCTTCAACATCTCCTAGAAATGTGAGCCTGAAAAAAAACATGAACTTCATAGGCTATTGAGAGGATCAGGTGAAATTAATATAAGTAGAATGTAACTATATTACATTGTCAATTCCTTTAGCCAAACTCTTCTTTTGTAAGGGTGGAAATATTGAGGCCCATAGAGAAGCTACTTTCCAAGTCATGTCATCAACACCCTCATGCCCTACTCCGTCCATTCTGTCTCTTTCCCAAAGCACAGCTGGTCAGCACACAGAGACATGAGGAAGAACAACATAAGCTGCAAAGTTTTCCCTACTTTCAAGTGCAGAGGCAAAAAAGGAGGTTGCTAGAGGAAAACAAACATACAGGGAAACCTACTGACAGAGAAGAAAGCCAAGGAAATCCCAGAACAGACTCAACTTAAGGAGATAGGCGAAGAGATGTTACATGAATAAGGTTGCTGCAAAGTGCCAGCCTGCTCTAGTCCCTCTGGGGTCACAACTAGCCTTAAGCAATGTTGCTGCGGCCAGGGCCATCTAATGGCTGTTTCCTACGCCTATCTTTCCTTCTCTTGAACCACCTCCTCTGATGTTTTATGCTCCAGCAGGCAGGTACATACCTGGAGACTGTGTACTTGTGGTTTCTCACTGTAGATGGGAAGAACTGAGAGGACTTGCCTCCTAAATATCTGATGACCTTTGCAAATCAGATCGATTACCTACCACATTCTAGATGATATGGTGAACTTCCCTGCCGAATTCAATACTGGTTGCAATCTTCGTCATCTTCTCTCCCTCCTGAGGTCACTGAGTCCATCCTGCTTTTCAGGTTTACCTGTTTTACTTTTCTAGGACATGATTTACGACTCAGCCTGGGAAACTCCAGCACCACAACCAATAATCTTTGCAACACTCAAACCTCCTTATTCAGGTGGGACTGCAAAACAGTATAATAACAATGGCAGTTTGGCCACTGCTTATAACATTAAATACATACTTACTATATGACTTGGTAATCCTACTTCTAGTAATTTACCCTAGAGAAATACAGTCTTATGTGTATACAAAAACCTGTACACAAATATATAGAGCAGCATTATTTGTGATCACGAAGAGTTAGAAACAACCCAGCTGTCCTTCAGTGGGGGAACAAACAATTCCAACTGTGGCATATCCATGTAATTGAATGATATTCAGAGATAGAAAGAAATGAACTTCTAATACACTCAAAAAACATGAATGAATCTTCATGTAAATAAAAGCAGCCAGGCTTAAAAGAATAAATACTGCATGGTCCCATTTATATGAGATTCTGGAAACAGCACTATTTCAGAGGTCGATAGCTGCTAGAGGTTAGGGATGGAGGTTGGATGCGACTACAAAGGCACAGCATGAAACTTTTTGGAGTGGTGGGGCTGTTTTCTATCTTCTGTTGGTGAATTTGTCAAAATTCATAGAACTATATACCAAAAAGGAAAAAAAGTGAATTTTACTCTATGTAAAATTTAAAAAGTTAATTTTTTAAATCTGGTTTATAATGTTGGATCTATCTTACTAAGTGACCTTGGACAGGATGTATCACCTCTGAGATCCAATTTTCTGAGATGAAATATGAGGGTGTTGGTCTAAGTTCTTTTCCAAGCTTAGCTGTCTGTGATTGTTATTACCCCAGGCAAATGCCTGTCTATTTTCTAAGTTTAGCCTGCATTCTGCAAAAGGAAGTCATTCGGCAGTTAGTTTGTGGTGTTTTTTCCTCAGCAAGGATTCCAATGAGCCCAGTGGAGTACCATCATCAACTCTGAACTATCAACACAGTCTGGATTCACCAGATAGTTAAGTGTTTCTAGACTATGAGGCTCACCAAAGAACACAAAGAATTATACAATTGCCAATTATTATTTCTGCCCTATAGCAAAGTTTCCAGACAAATAAAACACTTAGGGGAAAACTATAGAGTGAGGTTTTCACCCTCAGGGAAGAATATAGAATCCATGGACGCGCAGCAACACCGAATAAATATTAACTCCATCACTCGGAGCTCTGCCCCGCACCTTGTCATTTGCACTGTGGATAAAACACAGGGTATGTCTGTCATTGTGATGTAATTTCTTGCACTTCTGTTATTTTTTAATTATGCAGATTCATGAAATAGAGTTTCAATAGGGAATAAAATCTCTCCTTCCAGAAAACCACCACCTACTAGTCAAAAACGAATGTTTCTAGGTTTCTGACAGATATAGAGGGCTAAGAGAAAGAGGAAAATTCTCTGACACATTAGGATCATAGTAATTCCAGTTTTAAGTATTTACCTTAATATGAACCACATGCAAAAGTATTCTCTGTAGCATCACTTGTAATAGTAAAAAATTGTAAGTAATCTAAATGTCTACCATTAAGGGACTGGCTAAATAAAGTGTGATATAATCATGTAAAATAATACTAAAAGCAAATAAATTAAAGTTTTCAACATCAAAATTGATAATCCCCTAAAAATATTAAGGGACAAAAATCATATAGAATTTCTTTTAAAAAAATACACAATAGTTTTATATATCATACACACACACACACACAGGGTGGCACAAAAGTAGGTTTACAGTTGTGAGTACACAAAACACAGTTGTAAACCTACTTTTGCCCCACCCTGTGCGTGTGTGTGTGTGTGTGTGTGTGTGTGTATTAGGATTGTTTTCGAGGCTACATACTCAATTCGCAACAAAGGTTGACTTTCAAGCGAAGAGAAGAAGATTGGGTTTAAAACAAATTGTAGCGATGATTGAAGTAAATATATGAATCGGGTATAAATTATAGAACAGGCAGTACTAACAAACTCACAGAAGATTCAAGTATTAAAAGTTTTCTTGTACGTATTTTAAGGACATCAGCAGTTGCGGCTCATGCTTAAGCAAGGAATGAGCCTGAGTACAGGAAACTGGGCAAGCATCAGCGATTCCATCAGAACCAGCCGAACTGCTGCCCGCATGTCCTGTTCCCAGATAGCAGCAGAGAAGCTGCAGATGGAGCAATGAAATTACAGGATGACGCACACGACGGGAACACTAAACGCCCCGGGGCACAGAGCTGAGACAATGCACGTCACCGAAAATTCCTTAGTTCCCTTCTTTCCAAGGTCCCCTATAGAAACTAGCCAGGACACCTGAGATGCTAAGATGGGATTTGAGATGCAGGTCCCTCATCTTCCAGGTGGCCAGCACCTGAATTTCCTTTACATCAGCACCAGCCTCTTGAGTATTGGCTTTCAG